AAAAAAACCTTGTTACAAAAGGCAATCTTTAACCTTTGCGCCCACCAAAAAACAGCATGTCAAAAAGTATTTTTTCCTTTTCACTATTATTATAACTACCTACACTCCTATATGTGAAATGACTATAAGGAAATTATCGGTAATTAGCCGATGTTTTGCCAACCATTCCAATAAATAATCTAATAAAGAGTGCTTATTATTTTTGTTGTAAATTTTCAAGGAGGAAGAAAATGTATAAATTTACTTTCATATGTTTAGGTTTTATTAAAGTTCTAAATCACAGTTTTTCAAAACAATAAACAATGCTGAGGAGTAAAGGTAGTTAAAATAATAGTGGCATCAAGGTAAAAAACATACTTTTTTGACACACCATTTTTTGTGAGCATGAAAGTTAAAGACTGCCATTACAAAGTACATTTAGACCCTCTTGTCAGGTAGCTGATGAAGAATATATAGTGGTGGGTAGGTCAATTTTTTTCTTCCCTTCACGGAAGAGGAACTTCCCTGCTAATTAACTGTTTGCACTTTGAGGGCAGGTCAAGCTCAATGCTCTATTACTGCAAAAGTATGGAAGGGATAAGGGACAAATTTATTAATATTTGAGAAAAATATTAGTCACAAAAATGGTTCCCCATGGACTGCAGAAAGGTAGTCCACAGGCCTCAGTTGGCCTGCAGGGTGTGGCTTTGAGACCCCAGATTTAGATTTTTTTTTTATGCTGTCCTTTGAGGATGTGGACATTTATGTCTATCTACATATTTGTTTTCTTTATTATTTTATTTGCCATGACTTCTTGGGAAAGATAGTGGAGTGGCTTCCCCTTGCTTTTCCCATGGTTTTAAATTCAGTGTAGTTGTTCTCATACATTGGCTGCCAGCCAAGGAACCCAGGCTACTCTGATATTTAAACCTATAGTTGTAAGAAGAAATTGATTTGTGCCTTCACAAGGTGAATACAACAGGCTAGGCTGGAACTTGAATAACTCACCAATTCCAATGCCCATACATATAACCATTATGCCACCTGCAGAACCTTAGCTGCTTAATAAAAAAATAAAATTATTATTTGGCTACATTTTCTAAAACTGTATTTAAAAAAAAAAAAATGGAGCAATACTAGTATGATAACTGAGATTTCAGCACTTGACTATCATTTAATTACCATAAAAAAAAAAAAAATTGGATGGGTGAAAAGTTGTATATTTTCTCCCAACTGGCGTTCAAACCCATGGAGCATAACATGCCATAACCCTTTTAGAAAGAGACAAAGGCACTTTTCACGATAGAGATATATCCACCATGAGAAACTAAAGGCTTCTACACTATCAATTAGTTTGAAATCAGAATTTGTAAATATTTAGTTTCAATACTCACAAAAAAAAAAAAAAAAAAAAAAGGGCGGTTTTTCCCTTGACACCACTATTATTTTAACTATCTGCACTCCCTCAGCAGTGTTTGTGGTTTCAAAAAGCCATTAGTAGAATTTTAATAAAATCCAAGCATATGAAAGTGAATTTATACATTTTCTTTGAGAATTTACAAGAAAAATATTAAACACTGTTTATTGATTAGATTGTTTATTTACAAAAACAAGTTTATATTTATGTTATCAAGAATGCAAACCAATTAATTACAATGCAAGGTCCATTATTTATCAATTTATAAAGAAATAAATATAAAAATAATTTCTTTTTATTCATAAATTTATAAAAACACGTCTGAACAAGGAAATGTAAATAAACAGATAAAGACTAGTAACTGTCATTATAAATTTTGAAAAAATGCATTTTTTCGGTCATTGCATGCAGCAATTCATTGATAGTATTATAAATCACGAATAAAAAAAAAAAAAAAGTTTTCATAGTTATTTATAAAATTGTAAATAATAAATATTGCAGATGATTTACAACACATTTTAATAAATTTTAATAAAAAGATTTTTTCTCACATTCCTTTATAAAATCGTAAATAATAAATCTTTATAAAAAGATGAACATAGCAGTATACTTTGTTTACATATTTTTATAATCTTGTAAATAAACATTACCAAGGAAGTGAAAGTAGTACAAAATAATGGCGGTGTCAAGGGAAGAAACGTCTTTATTAATACAGTGTAACCCGGATATAAGAGAGATTTTATCTGGTCCCAAATTAGAGCCTGTGTTAATGTATACATAGACCAAACCCGGATATAAGAGACTTCTTCTCCGGTCCCGACAACTCTCTTATATCCGGGTTACACTGTACACTGTTTTTTTGCATGTTAAAATTTTACCCAGAATTTCTTTAGACAAGTTGACACTCAAAGCTAAAGAGCTCACTTTAGCTCCATTATTTAATCCATATTTGTGGGAAGAAATTATGGTTTCATGCCTTTTACCAAGAGTAACAGTACGAAGAAGTCAATGCAATTGATTCGGTTAGAATAGGAACTTATAATCAAGCAAGTCTATGATCCACACATGTAAAAAGAGCACTTTGCACTGATTTTATTCTAAACTGGCAAACCTCCATTAAAAAAAACAAAAACAAATAAACCTTTATTTCAAATATATGTCTTCATTGTGTGCTGGACAAAAGTCAGCCACAGCTAAAAGAGTAAAAGGAAAACAAAACAGGAACTCAGGTTACTTATTTTGTTATCAGGTATTTTACGAAGTTAAACTTGGTCTGGCACAAGACCACAAACACCAGTTAGAATTGAACTCACTGACCAGTATTAAAAGAGCTAAAATAAAAACCATTACCCATGAGGAGACGCCCTATAATTTTTCTTTTCATGGCATATGAAGTACTTCGTTTAACACTTCATTTGCATTTTCTTTTGAAAGAAGCTATGAAAATGAGGTGTTAGTGGACTGCTCTATAAGAGAAGTGGTAAAAAAAAAAAAATCCGTACTTATTTCGTTCATGCAATTTTCAAATTCCCCAAAGTTTTGATTTTTTTTTAGTAACACCTAGCCTACCAAAAGATTAGGGAAAAAAAACAAAAACAAAAAACAAAAAAAAACATTGACCCATAGCAGGGACATTTTTTTTTTAGAGAATCTACTTTTATCAAAAAAATAAATAAATAAAAAATTCTTACATTTTTAATTTTTATGAAAACAAAGATATGAAATAGCCATATAAACAAGTTTTCTTCAATTTATTTTGTGGAAATAAAAAGTCATACCCATAAATAAATAAATTTTAACAAAATCTTTCTCCTTTTTAGACTTGCGCAATTATTTTCTATCAAAACTTCAACACAACTCCTACTTAATGACAAATTCGTTTTCAAGTTGGCCTAAAAAGGAAACCAGGAAATAAGTTACATATGCAAAGAAATTAAGCTCATTAATTAATTTTGTTGGGTAAGTGCATCCATAAAAATAAAATATATACATATTTTAAAAAAGGAATTTTTTTTTTTATGCGAGAGATTTTATCAGAGTAAAAGATAAACAAGCTCCATATTTAGTTTCAGTTTAAAAAACTAAGTCGAGATCTGGAAATATATTTGAGGATCTATTTCATAGATTGTTTGAATTCATATCTTTATCTTAGAGATGTTTCGATCACAACATTTCGACTAAAACATTACTGGTCATCCTCAGGTGCGTATCACACTCCAGTAATTTCTGACATTTTTAACTACATCTAAAGAAATAAATAAATAACCTACTTTTAATTAGAATTATTGAAATTTATCTTACAAACTGCACAAGATATTATTTTCTTGAGACTGAATTAAAAAAAATCGCTGTTTTTTATGTCCTTTTAAAGAAGACTTTTTTAAAATCGTTTTTATCATTACTTTTTTTAGTTTTATGAAATGCCATGTTGCCGCTTGACAATGCATGTTTTTAAGATTGTTTGGGAAATAATTCATAAATATTTCTTTAAAATATCTTCTTTGTTTTTTTTTAACTATCTATGTCAGGTATATTAGAGAAATCGTCTAGAAACACTACGTAGAATTCAATTTTAAAAGTAGGTTATAAATATTATATATATATTTGTTTAAGCCAGGGGAAAAAAGCGGAGGATATCTTTCTCTTAGAAAAATAAATAAATCGAATCTATTTAAAGTTGATATTCACTCAGATAAAAATGGGTGTAACAAAACTAGAAAAGGGTTTAATAATGATCGTGAATAAATGTTTATTAACCTGGGAATGTATTATTACTAACGGAGCTAAACTTTAGGTATGTAATAAATATTGTAAATAAATATGGGGAAGTTCTTAGTCAGTTAACTCAGGGTCGGGTATATTTCACAAGTTCTTTATAATTATTTTTTTTTTTTTCACTTTTAACAATTAATCATTCCATCAAACTACGAAACAGGATATAACGTCGACAGATAGAAGATAAAATACCAAAATAGGCGTGGAAAGGTTAGGCCAAAGGGAAAAAAAATATACTACACTACTAGAACAAGAAAAAGACCAATTAATAGATCGACCGCCATAGTTGGTGTCGAATTTTTTCTTTCATTATTTTTTTTTTAACCGATTTGAAATAAAGAAAAAATAAAATTAAAATTAGAAAAAAAATAATTTTACAAAAAGCAATTTCTGCACGATATATTTTCTTTTCTTTTATAACTAAAATTTATTTTAGATTTCAAGACAATAATGACAAAGAAAGCAAAAGAAAAACAATTTATCACTGAAAGTAAAAAAAAACGAAAAAAAAAACGCGATTTGGTTTATTTCTATTCAAATTTTGTTTCAATAAATATAAAACAAACCGTTTTTTTATTTCCGTGTAATTTTTAGATTTTGAAAGAAAAAAAAGAAGACGAAGAAAACATCAAAGAATTGAAATCCAATCAAATTAAGAAGCATATATAACACATTTGGTCTTCCATAGTAAAGAAACGACAATCGTTAACGCGTTTATATTTCGTCTCGTCATAAAGAGACGACGAAAAAGAAAAAGAAAACGATATTGAGTTTTCAATGCAAATACATGAACAATAGCGACTTTTAAAACTATTAGACAACACTTCACCTGCTTCGTGGCGTACAATAACCTCCTGGTTCTCGTCTTGCAAAACTTCGGTGAGGATAGAGACAGCATAATCGTCTTGCATCTGACCAAGGCAGTAGGCTAGTTCGTGTTTGAGTAAAGCAGACGGATCTGAAAATATCCCTGCGATCGCATTAATCGCCTTTTTACCGCCCAGGTTTCGTAGAGTGAACAGAGCCCTGAATCTTTCAGTCAATGGCTGATTCTGATCACGCAGGATTTTGGCAATTTGCGATATAGAATCGTTCGAATTCCTCATTTTGTCAATGGCAGCCATGATTACTATTTGTCTACACGTGTTTTGTCAACTTAGGCCGGGAAAAAGGGCAGATAACTACTGTTGCTTTTACCTCCAACGCAGAAGGGTGGGATAACTATTGTTAACCTTATCTTTACTTTTCTTTTTTTTTTTTAATGCACCCTCTACACCTCCAATAATATTTCTACCGGTCTATTCTCCAACATTCTTCATTAAATGTGCCCAGCGCAAAGTCAAGAAACAACATAATCCAAAAACTGTTTTCAGTAGAATAACAAAAACTCTATACCAGACAACATTAGTCTGAAGAAAAAAAAAAGAAAATAGATTAAAAAACAATAGTTTGGTTGGATATAGTAATCAACACTGCATGGTAACCTCAATCAATACGTCAATGCAATTTTCAGCTTCAGAACAAGCCTGGAGATTGCATTTAGGTATGAAACTGACAATCACCATACAATGTGGATTCTTATATCCACACTGTGTTTATCTATAAATGACTTATCTCCAATAGTGAGTACTCTTCCCCTATAATAAGATACACTGATTTGTTTTTTTATGGCATATCAGCCCTCAGTGAGTTATTTAAAGTAAGATGATCTTTTAGATTGTTGGAGGCTGCTTACAGTACCTGTCATTCCTAAGTGATCTACCATCTAAGCACGCACACACACACACACACACACACACACACACACACACACACACACACACACACACACACACACACACACACACACACACACACACACATACACACACACACACACACACACACACACACACATACACACACACACACACACACACACAATTCTAAGGAGACAGGTAAACCTGCCTAGGTTTCACCTAAACAGATCGCCCTGATGATCCATTTAGGTGAAACCTAGGTAGGTTTGCCTGGCTCCTTAGGTTTAGATTATCTTACCTTTTAGCTCTACTTTGTGTATTGAGCACTTTACATAGTTGCCTTTTTCTCATTTTGGAGCTTTTTTTTCTTTGGACTTTGACCTTGAACTCTGGACGATTGTTTTTGCCTTAGTTTAATGTTCTTGGTTCTTTCTTTTTTTATTCCTCATTTTTCCTTGGGTACCGATTTGTTCTACTACAAGTCCAATTATCCAAAGTTTTTCCAAGCGAGTACCACCATTTATATAATATACATGTGTATATATATATATATATATATATATATATATATATATATAATGTGTGTGATCAAGGCAAGCATGTACTGATTGGGGGCCCTCAGGCAATGCTTTGTGACTCTTGTTACCTTATCAACATTTGCTTTTTTTTCTATCTACAATTATACGTTCTATGAATTAAACTAAGTACAACTGACTATTAAAGGATGAAAACTTTATTTGAATTTTGATGTTATTCTGCAGTCTTTTTTTTTCATTCTTATCCATGAATATTTTTTTTTTTTTTGCAATGGGTTAAACACAACTTCCGTGATATACCAGGTGTCTATCTTGCTGTTTGATTTGAAACTAAGCAGGAAGAGATGAAAAGAACTTTGCCTCAAAAGAATACAACTAGGAATCTTGACAACACAAGTTCCACCTGCCCATTTGGTGAAAATAGCACTTACTATTTTATTTTATGACAGAATTTTGGAAAAATATGAAAATTGAGATGTAGTAGAGTGGGGTGTCCTGTATCACAGATTTGGGAGCAGGCCCATGAGACCTTTGTACACACTAAGAACACAAGACTAAATCTCATGTGTAAAAGTATTGTTTATTCAACTTCTGACATCATCAATTGATATCAACAAGTGGGTATATGGTTTTGAGCTGGAGAGTCTCTGAATGTGGATTCTTCATCTTGCAAGGGTGAAAAAAACTCTCTGTCTTTTCGCTTCTCAGGCTGAGCACAAATATAATCCTGTCATCTAGTTGTCCCATATGTGCACATCCTAAGTGCTGCTGGGTAGACCACTATTTCATATGTTAGGGGTCAAGCACTGACATCCAGTGAAGTGTAAATCTGCACCTGGTGGATAGGAGGTCATGTGTAGTTTATGTGTAATTCAAGTTCTGAATTTGGTGGTTCTGATGTTCTTGTGTAATACTGAGTGCAAGGTTTATTTTGCTATCTCTTAGGGTGAACCCAGTACATATTGGGGTCATCACAGATCAATTTCTCTTACTGACATTAAATTCAGTTCAGGCAATCTGGCATTTCTTGGTCTACATTGTTATTGGTCATAATGTAACACCCCCATATCTTTTCTATAAATACTTTCATGGTAATTGTTCTGATGAACTTTCTTCTATGGTACCTAAACTTTATGAAATTGAGTACATTACGAGATTGGTGGCAAGGTCTTATCATTTTATTGTTTAAATAGCTAGATGTAACTGTAAATTCTATGCGAACAGTTTCTTTTATCACACTTCTCGCCTGTGGATCTCTCTTCCAGCTTCTTAATTCCTATTTTTTTTTATTGTTCTTGTCCCTTCATAATGTTTTCCTTGTTCTTATATTTTTTCATACTCAGTCACCTCCTTGTGTCTTAGTGGTTTTATTGCCTTCCTTGGGTGAAATGGTGAAAAAAATTTTAAATTTAATTTTTAAAATTAAATTTACAATTTTAGTTTCAGTTTTGAAACAGAAATTTCTGTTTTGCAATAAAATCATATTTTTAAAAAAGAAAATAATTATAATATTATGCTCTACTGTTTGTATCGAGCACTGTTTTTTTAAAAATAAAAATAATTGGTAAAAACACAGGATTATAAATCTTACAGTTCTTATCATTTTAATATATATATATATATATAATATTATAAATTAATTGATTTAAAATATGGTTATTTTAAGCTACACAGTTCCAACCATGTTTCAAAAATATAAAACCCCTAATTTTATTTTTGCAAATAAATTAAAAGCATTAGTTCTATTTCATCTTCAAGCGAATTTTGGAGTAACTTTTAAAATTTACGGGTTTTCTTTTTATTTATATACATACATATATATATATATATATATATATATATATATATATATATATATATGACAGTTCAAAAATTACTAAACATATACTATTGATAATCGTAAAGTAATGGTTGAGAAGCTAGGCTCCCATCAATACTGTGATGTAATCAGTTCAATACCCACTGGATGTTTGACACTTCTGACCTTGTGCCAGACTAAATTAAGCTTACAAAATAATATATAAACTACTGCTTTGTCAATTCGTCTTTTATTTGTTTTGTGGAATGTTGTGAGGGTGAAAATTCGGCCATGCCCACAAAGAAAAAGGAAAAAAAAAGAGAAAATTGATAAAGTTTACGTTCAAAATTTTATAATCCAGAAATTGTTGAGGTGATTCACAAAAAAACGTTTGGTTTTTAGTTAGGTTTTTGTACAATAGAAAATAGAGTAGACACAGGAAAGTTTCTTACTGATTTCAACTCAGGCTGTTACATCCGGCTGCTACTCAGACTATCACATGAATTCTCACTGACTGCTATTTGGTTTGACTTGATACATTATAGGTTGTCACATACAGGTGTCATAGTATACACAAAATGTGTATCAATATTTAACAGAAAAAATGCTTGGCTGCATTTGAAAGTGTGTTACATAAAAAGTATAAAATTTCTAATAACTGTACATGCTTAAAAGCTGAAACTTTGCAGATTAATAACTTGATATATTTTTTTAAATGCTATGTACATCTTATTTTTCTCCATAAAATATGATTTAAATACATTTTATTTTAAGCTGGTATCCATTGTGGAGCTATTTTATTTTATTGTAGAGATACAGAAGGTGCTTATCTCCCTTTGGTGGCGATAAGTTACATAGGTCAACTAACCATGTAGTGATGTAATGCCATACAGTGATGAAAGTGGCAGTCAAATTCAGTTTGTTTACAGTAGCAAATTGAAAGGTTACTCTCTTTAGCCCAGGTTCTCATGTCCCAGGCAGAGGCTAATCTGCCTCCCCAGTAGTTACAAGTTCAAGAAATTCCAGCTTACAGTCCTCAGTTTGGGAAAACCCTTGACTCACTGCCTCACGTTTGTACAATATGTCCTCACCTGGGACATAAATGAATCCGGCCTGTTTGAACCGGCTGTCCTAAACATGGCTTCTCCAGATACATGAGTATCTACACATTATATGTAAGACCTTTCCTTTTTGTTTCTGCTTCAACTCTGCTTTGCCATGTAGATATGTGAAATATTATTCTCCATGTGCGACACTTGTATATATGTATGGATATAGTTTTGTGTATGTCTTAGTAGTATAAAAGTCTCTCTGAGAACAATATAGGTGTGTCATTCTTTTTCCTTTCAGCCATTCTGTTTTGTCTGTGAACTATGGTGTTATTATATCACATATATAATAATACCCATAATGGGGGAAATACAAATGGGAGAATAAATCATTCTTTTATAGCTTTCTCCTGTTACATTATTTTTTTCTTTTTCTTTTTAATTGGTATCACCCCATGCAAAGCAGTAAAGCCACTAAGACGCAAGAGGGTGTGAGAGAATTAAGAACAGAAACATTAATGATGAGCGGAAAGAGGAAAGAGTAATCAAGAGGACAGTAGATAGCAATTGATATTGCATTTAAATTTTTACAGATTAAAGTTGGCTGGAAAGCATGGAGCTGGAAAGGAGTTCCACAAGCAAGAAATGCAAGAAAAGGACCTTTTTAATATAGAATTTATGCTTATATCTATCTAGCACAAATGTAAATTGATGACATCTCGACACCAGTCTAGTACTGCACTTAAATTAAAAAAGTCTAGGTACCATAGTGAAGAGTTCATCCAAACAATTATCATGAAAATATTTATAGAAAAGACATACAGAGCCAACCTTACAGTGGTGGGAAAGTGACTGAAGCTGAGCCGCCAGAACAGGACCAATAATATTGCTGATTCTTTTTTGGATTTTATCAAGGAGCTCAAGATAAATAGCAGAAGTGCCAGATCGTATGTGGCAGCAATATTCTAAGCATGGACGAATAATAGATTATTGATAATTTTTATTAAAAAGATATTTTCATTTTGTCTGAAAGTGATTAATTAACAGAATAAGTTCTAATAATGTGTTTGCTATAATTTCAGTCTGTTTAATTTGTTTGTTTTAGAAAATCTTAATTTATATGAATTTTTCAATGTTTTTTCTTTACAAAGACTACAGTTTCATATAAGCTATACAGCTTAAGTTTAGTATATTTTCCTAATTTGAGTTTTTTTTAATTCCATGTCCCTTCAAGCTGTAGGGAACCATAGAATTCCACAGATTCTTTTATAGATTTTATTCAATTATAGGCTTATGGCCACATCATGCTGAAACATTAGTTCCCATATGATCACCAAAGTTAAGCAACATCAAGTCTGGTAAGTACCTAGATGGATGACCACATGGGAATATTAGGCACTGTAAGCTTGGATGTACAGGTGGTATAATAGATAATGGCTCAGAATTATTAATTGGAGAGCCAATTTCCAATTCCTGTTTGGTTCATTATATTCACTTACACCCAAAGAGAAAGGTATGAATCGACTTTTTCTCTGAGCTAATTAATAAGACATGTATCACAAAACCATTATTATCCCCCCCCCAATTCTTACAATATGAAAATATTTTCTGGTTTTAAATAACCTGAAAAGGGTTGATAAGCCATAGAAAATGAATCAACTAATCTAGCCAATTATAGCTCAGTACAAATAAGATATATCAGAGATGGTGCTGAAAAGATCTTAGCTCAATCCACATCCCAAAATCTGAGTGTTATTTTGCCACTATAGCTAGAAAGAGTGTTCTCTTATATCTAAGAACCTTGCATTTATTTTTTTATTCATTTTCTATTCATTGACTCTACAAAGTCAATAGAAATTCAGCAATCTTAGACCTTTATGCCCACAAAAAATAGTATCAAAAGGAGGATTTTTCCATTGACAGGGCTATTATTTTAACTACCTGCACTCCTCAGCAATGTTTATTGTTTTAAAAAGAGATGATTAGAATTATAATAAAGCCTAAATATATGATGAAAGTGAGTTTATACATTTTTTTTGTTCATGCGAATTTACAACAAAAATATTAAACATTATTTATTTATTAGATTATTTATTTACAAGAATAATTATATATTTACAACATTCTGAAAACTAATACAATTAAAACTAATGCAATAGTTACCATTTATAAAGAAATAACTGAAAACAATTTTTCTTCATAAAATTTATAGGCATTTATGTGAAAGGAAATCCTTATTATTTATCATTTTATAAAGTTCTAATCAATTGGCAATTAGCCAATATTTTGCCAACCATTCCAATAAATAATATAATAAATAAATCTACAATAAATATAATAAATATACAATAAATATAATAAATATACAATAAATAAATAAATATACAATAAATAAATAAACAATATAATAAATAGTGTAAATAAACAATCTCATAAATATTATATTATTACATACAATGTTTAAATTCAACATCTTGTACAAATTTAGCAAATTGCTGTTAACTTAATACATAAAAAGGTCATCCAAAGTGAAATCTGCATTTAGTAAAGAAAAAGGAAAATACATCTCTGAATATTTTTCAAAGAGGAATTTGTTACATGTTTGTATGAAGAAAATTTGTTATTTTCTTGTCTTGTAGTAACAGACAAAGATTTAGTTAGAATAAACATACCAGCTGAAGACTTTTCTTTGTGGTGGAAGCGACCAGATTGTTTCAATTATCATCAGCACCAAATTCTTCTCTAAATTCTTCGGCATCATTTTCCTTCTGGATCAGGGTAACCTGAATTCTTGTAGTAGCTTGTTGTTGACTCCTCTAATGTGCACCTTATATGCTAGACAGGTAAGGTCCCAAACATGCTCTTTGCAGAGCCATCAATTTGGAGGGAAACCAACACTGCTTTTTTTTCCACTAATCTGAATGTATCATAAATATTTTGAAACTTAAAACTTAAGTAAGAGCACATCAAACATTTGTTTGTTTTTTTTTTAATCATCCCAAGCAAGGCAGTAAAGTCACAAAAATACAAGGAGTTACTGGGTGTGAAAGAAAAAGAAAACAGAAACATTACTAAGGAGCGAGAACAAAAGAAAAATAATCAAGAAGACAGTAGATAACAATTGACATTGTATTTGAACTTTTGAAGATTAAAGTTGACTGGAAAGCATGGAGCCAGTAGGGAGATTTCCACAAGTGAAAAGTGCAAGAAAACAAACTATTAGCATAGAACTTACAGATACATCTAGCCAACCCAACTGTAAATTCATGAGACCTTGTTACCAGTCTAGTACTGTGCTTAAATTCATAAAGTCTAGGTACCATAATAAAGAGCTCATCTGAATAGTTACCATGAAAATATTTATAGAAAAGGTACAGAAAGACAACATTATGGTGGGAAAGTGACTGAAGCCAAGACACTAGGTCAGGGCCAATAATATTGCTGATTCTTCTTTAGATTTTATCAAGGATCTCTAGATATATAGCAGGAACACCAGACCTTATTGTGGCAGCAATATTCTAAGCATGGATAAATGGTAGACTTATAAATATGTAAGATAGATTCTGGAGAGAAAAATTATCTAGCGTGACACAGTGGACCAACATTCTTAGCAGCTGACCTAGCAATGGATTCAATAAAGTCTTTCCACTCCATGTCAGCAGAGAATGTTAAACCCAAGAAGGCACAATGAATCACTGTCCTGGAGGGTTAGCATCAGCCATACTGATGGAAGGCAGAAAGGGGGTCTCTTAGAAGATTAAGCTTGATATATGCCCATGTAACTTAAATTTCTTATAGCATTACATTTTTCCACACTAGTGGCAACACTTAATTCAAACTATTATGACTCCAATTCACTACATATTTTTTCTTTTTTACTAAATTTCACTCAAAGCAAGGCCTAAGAGCCACTCAAGGTAGAGGGTTGCAGTCAAAATGGTAATTATGATTGAGCTGTATAATATGAACCAGTTTTCTCTTCTTTGTTTCTTTTATCCTTTCTTATGTTCTATCTTGCAGCCTTTTTTCAAACTTAATTTCTATGTTGTTTTGTTTTATAGACTTTAACACTTTAACTTTTCAAGAATCAAACACAAGCACAGATGCCATAGGGTAGACACAGTACATTCACGCAACCAATAAAAACAACGCAACGAATTAACAAATTGATACACACATAAATACAAACACCATAAGCTATATATATATATATATATATATATACACACACACACACCAAGTATAGGATTGGTGTAGATAGAATAAAATTCCAGTAACCCTAAACACTATCTTTAAAAGAGTGCTCAATACAGAGTAGAGCAAATCAACACCATCACTTGATAAGACACCAGAAGTGTTGAAACAAAATGGCTATTTTTGTAATGATGTTATAACATATTTATGTTATAATTTTTAAATAAATATATATATATATATATATATATATATATATATATATATGTATCTGATGTCTATCTATGTGGTTTTTCTACATAAATATTTTTCTGAAATTATAAATACAAAATAATTAAATATAGTAACAATTTTAGTATAAAATAGGTTTGGTATTTACTGAGAGTCTATAATATAAAATAATTAAATAAAATAAACTGATTATTTATATTATATACAAGCAGACTATTTATTTTATCTTTGCTGTTGTTATCAGATTTTGTTCATTACTGGGATATCTCATCTAATTCTTATTTTTAGTACTGCTAAGTTATCGTTCACCGTGTTTCCACTGAGCCTAAGTATACACTGCCCAGCCCGAGGATTGAACTCACAATTACTATGTCACCAAATTCACAAATCAATGTTTTAATCCGCTAGTAGTGAACTTGGAACCTACAAGACACTGGCCAAGTGAATTAAAGTATCGGTTTGTGAATTTAGTGTTTGTGGGTTCAATGATTGTGAGGTCAGGCAGTGTGTACTTGCCCTCAGTGGAAACAAGCAATAACTGAGCAGTGCCAAATAAAAATAAGAACTATACAATATCCCCAGACATGAACAGTGGAACAAGACCAGTCTATCCTCAGAGATTAAATAAAGGGTTCATTACAGGGCAGGTTGCACGGATTGATATACACCTGATGAATGGCTGAAACATTGTGATAACGACAACAAAGATGAGGACGATGGTCTGCTTGTAAAATAAACTGAACATACAATTAACTTATTCAAAATAAACAAATTGGTAAGTTTTAATATTACAATAGTTTAAATGTTACTTATTTATTATCTATATCATTCTTGGTGAATTTGCTGTGTTAAAAAATATCCCAACATTTTGATTACTAATAAATATTTAAATGTTGGTATGTTCTTAATGGATTCTAATCTAGTATGTATTTCAAATTTGAAATTTGAAGTCTATGATTTGCGTTTGCTCAAGTGGAGTATATATACGAGATCTGATAATAATTCAATAGATTTATCAAACTATCTGACCCTGATGAGCGGTATTATGTGAAACTCTAAGGTTGGTCAATGACATAAGTCCACCAAATATTTATTGAATATTGTTACTCTGGTTATCTACAGTGTAATTTTTGGCAAAATAAGTATTTTCAATATATTCCTCCTCTTCATGTAAATATTGAGGGATATAAATTATATATATAAGGGGATGGTGAAAGGTTCTCAGCCTGACAAAGAAGGCTTGTTGTATCCTGTCAACACTTCTATAATTTTAAAAAACAACTGGAAAAAAAAACTTAATCAGCATTATTGTAAGACTGATTCAGGATATAAAGAGGTCTCAAAAGCAACAAAACAAGTGTTCTGTGGACAAGGATCAAAGTGTAGTATTCCAGCAGCCAACAGTCAATCCATGGCTCCAGCCACCAGCAGCAGTTCCAGCTAGCCAGCCATCATCATCTCCAGCTTGCCATCAGGCATTGCTTCAGACATCTCTAATATTCCACCACTTCCTGCTGCTCAGGCTATCTCCAAAAGGCTTGTCACTCCAGCCATCCTCACCAGCAGCAACAATGTGCAATAAAATATCCTTTTTAACTGTTTTATTTTAATTTTTAACATTTTTATAGTCACATATGCTGGCTTGGGAAGAGAGTAATTGTTAAGGGGTCCACCCCTTTTTCATACAAGTGGACTCGCCTAGTGTGTACTTGTACTGCTGCTGGTGAATACCTGGTAGTGACAGTAACAGTGATAGAGTGATACAGTGAGAGAGTGAGAATGTGAGGTAACCGCTTGTAGGAGTCACAGTTGCAAGGACATAGGCTCAGAAAGAAGTCATACTTCGATACTGAATTTCCCAGACTGTATATATATTATTATTGCTACTAACCGCATTTCTGGATCTACTAACTGTATTACCAATTGTATTATTGTGTCAATACATTTATTTGCTATATTTCATTCCTGCGTTTGTCATTC